CTTTCCCTAATTTTTCTCTGCTTCAGAAATTCCTTACACTTGCGTTACATAACATGGATCTATAATTTCTTTGTGTACTGTAGAATTTATTAATAGTTTTAGGTCCTCACAGTGCTGTGAGAATTGACCCCAAAGTGTCCCTCTTATTACACTTTACTAATTTCTTGATGAAAATTAGGCTATCTCATTCTGTACAGGCTAAGCTCACTTTGAATAGCATTTACAGATTTCGGATAGATATGTCTCTTCAGTCATGATCTGATATTTCTAAAAGCATTTAATATTAGCCTTTTGGTAGAAGCAGAGTTAAGTGTTTGGTGTAAAGATCAGTACAGTCACTGGAGCAAGTGGTGCTGATATCTTGGATACTCAGTTTTCCTTCCCAGTAACTTCCATTGGCACCAGTGGGAGGCTGAATTCGTTTAGGCAAAGATTTCAAGTATTTTATACATCATATCTACTTGATTACTTGTGTGTTTTTAAGCTTTTGTTGCTGTAGAAAAAGTGATGCCAAGTTCAACGTACATCTTAACAGAAATATTGTGTACGCTAGGAAATAAGGCAAGTGTACTCATTCCTGTACAGTGATTCATGCGTTAGAGTGGACTATGTGTCTGTCTGTCTACTCTATGTACTTTATGGTGACTGTTACTTGGAATTTATTTGCCTGTTGCCTAGGGATATACTTTCTGGATGGCTACAAAGTTCAGTTTTGTTTGTACGGGTTCGCAATGAAGCAGTTATATAATCCAGGAAAGTAAGAGAAGCCTCCTAATGAACTCCTGAAGCATGCTGGGTTTAAATCAGGGGTATTGTTAGGATGAGAAAAATCTGCCAGTGCAGCCACTTCTTGTGCAAAACACTGGTGTCCTAAAGGGATTACGGACAGACATTTCAAAATCTGTTTGAACCATCCTCTGAGAGATAGTCTAAGTGCCGAACCGCTTTCTTAAGAGTGGTTCCAGATTTTGTCTCCAGCAGCATTCCTAAGCTGAAATGTTCTTATATTGTCCTAGCTGAAATGAGACAGGAACGAGTGTGAGTGGAACAGCAATTAAGGTGCCGCTTTGGGGCATAGGCAGCCCTGCCTTCAGCTTTCTGCTCTACAAAGCCTGGGCAGGTCCCTTAAATACTTTCCTTGTGTTTGTGTCCATCTTTAAAGTGCAACTTAGGCTGCTGGGTTTCAGTAGGTTTCCCTCTTAAATTTGGGCACCTGAATTTTTCCAGTTTTGTTGCTGGAGAACTTACAGGCACCTGCCTTAGAGTTTTCGTTTGGTTATGTAAAGTTCTGGTAACATGTGCGACTGAACACAGTGTTTTGGGGCTTTTGCCTAAGGCTTGTACCCACAAGGTAATCTTCCTTGCATCAGTGGCCTTTGAGCTCACCTGCACTTTTGTTCCTCAGTGTGGCACACTAGATACGTCCTACCTGAGCTGGATTCTTTGTAGAGCATGACAGCCTTGGCTGTGCCTTCCAGGTATAGCCCAAGGAGACAAAAGCAGTGCCTGTGCTGATTCCTACCTCCACGTTTATAGCCCAGACCAGAGGTTCCCAAACTGTTGGGTTACAGCCCACTGCAGCCCTTGATGTTTCTACATCTCTTTCAGACTTCTGAGTGGTGTGGTGAGCAAAAAGGCAGCGTAGTTTCACGGGCCTGTTGCAGAGGATCAGTGGTCCCTCGAGAGCTGTCCCCTGGAGGACAGAGCACTTGCCTGGCAAGTGGGAAGCCCGGTTTCCAGTCTGCAGCTGGTGTCTCCTCCCAGGGGAGACTGAACCAGAAGATGGGCCAGGCTCCCTTTGATCCTCTGGCTGAACCTGCCGCTGCGTATGGAGAGGAATGTGAGCTCCCTCCCCAGCGCCATGATAGCCATCCTCTGTGCCATGTCTGTGGCACCATGGCAGGGGCATTCCTTTGGGAGCAGGTGTGTCCTCAGTTCTGGTATCTGCTTCCCCCAGCGGTTTTCGGTTCCCCCCAGCAAGTCCTTTCTATGTAAGCTGTCGGTGGAGTAGACTTTTATGTTCCTTTCTGTGCATTGGTGCAGTTTGAGTGGAGAAGAGAGTCTCTGTGTCAGCCTTGCTGATAAGAGGGCATTCCTAATTGAGTTATGATGTGGGGTTGAGCACTTCTGTGTGGGACAGGGCATTTGGTACAGGCTTCTTATCTCCTCAGTGAATTTATTAGTCAGGAGGCAATTTAAGAAACTACTACTGCCAAGTTGTCCTGTGCTTCTGAGTGAAGCTGCTAGGTCACCGTGCTTTGTGTTGAGCTGGGTATTATCCGCATGGTAGCGCATGTGCTGCAGCTGCAGGTCCCTGCCTAGGGCCTCTTATGGGACTGCAGCGAGAAAATGTCTGGTTTCTACATCTCCAGTAGTCTTCCCTGTGAGTCTTTACGTTCAGCTCCGCCAAGGTGATGGCACAGTCTCAGAGCTTTAGTTAGCTGGCTACAGGCAAGGTACAGAGTATCTATAGCCTGCTGTCGTGGTTTAACCCCAGCTAGCCACTAAACACCACACAGCTGCTCGCTCACTCCCCCCTGGTGTGATGAGAGAGGAAATTGGAAGGGTAAAAGTGTGAAAACTCATGGGTTGAGATAAAGATAGTTTAATAGGTAAAGAGAAAGCTGTGCACGCAATCAGAGCAAAACAAGGAATTCATTCACCACTTCCCATGGGCAGGCAGGTGTTCAGCCAGCTCCAGGAAAGCAGGGCTCCATCACGTGTAGTCGTTACTTGAGAAGACAAATGCCTTAACTCCAAACATCCCCCCTTCCGTCTTCTTCCCCTGGCTTTATATGCTGAAATGACATCATGTGGTATGAAATGTCCCTTTGGTCAGTTGGGGTCAACTGTCCTGGCTGTGTCCCCTCTCAACTTCTCGTGCATCCCCGGCTCACTCGCTGCTGGGGTGGTGTGAGGAGCAGAAAATGCCTTGACTCTGTGTAAGCACTGCTCAGCAATAACAAAAACATCCCTGTGCTATCAACACTGTTTTGAGCACAAATCCAAAACATAGCCCCATACTAGATATTACAAAGAAAATTAACTCCATCCCAGCCAAAACCAGTGCACCTGCTAAAAAGTAAGACGAGGTTTCTAGGGACTCCTAACTGAGAATTTAGGAGCCTGTGATGGAAGTGTGTAGTTCTGACATTGTCATGTGTCCCTGCCACCGCTGAAAGGAATGCTTCCTCCTTATTCTAGCTGCTTGGTCTTGTCCTCTGTCTCAGGCTGGGTTTAGCAGTTTTGCAGTTGCTAAAGACTCTAAATACAATCAGTTCCCTGCTCATCACATTGACCTTGGAATGGTGGTCACCGTGCAGGTGCACAAGCACTAATACAGGGTTAGGGAAATGGAGATGTTCCATTCCATTACAGAGATGGCAGAGCTGTGGTATGAACTGCAGATAGTGGTAAAGACTCTAGGATACCCATATTATCTTTGTGTAAAATATGTATAGATGTAGTGCCAGGTCTCTATGGACATTGTGAATAGAAAGACTCCTTTTCATGCCATATGAGGATTGGTGGTACAGAAAAATGCATATATCTGTTCAGAAAATGAGTTGTTTGGCACCAGTTCAGAGCAGTGAGGTGCAGCCGCTTACAAATGGCTGTTTGCTGTATAAAAGCCTCCATTTCCTTGGTAGTTGTTCTGCATGCCATTTGTTAATATAGTATCTTCTGGGAGCCATGGACGTGCAAGGCAGTAAGGTTATGGCAACGTGAATGAGTTACAGTGGTATAAGGTGAAGTGAAATACACTTCATCCAAGAGGAGATAATTTAAAGTCACCCCATTCTGAACGATAAGCTACTTCTCAGTTATTTTGGGCAAAA